CTGCAACTCGTTTTTCCCGCGAGCGAAGCTAGTCTAGCAGGGACCGAGCGGCTAGGATGGGGAGGGGACGGCTCCCTTACGTTAGCGGCTGCGAAAACGCCGATGAGGGTGAGAGGCATGCATCCAAGCATGAACGTATTTGATATTTAGGAGATTCACATTTCCCTAACCACCAGTAAAACGCCTTTTGGGCGAAGAACGAGCGAGCGAGATAGTGAGCCCTGCACGTGCGGAAGGGCGAGAGGATACTTCCAATGGGTTTGTGCAAAGCACCCTTCTAACCGGTCGCTAGCGGTGTGCCAAATTTGAACGCAATCGGCCCAGCCGTTCCTGAGATCTGGAAGCGGCATTCTGCACGTGCGCACGTGCAAACGGGGTCCAAACTGACTTTTGCACGGCACCCTACTAACCGGTCCCCAACCGTGTACCAAATTTGAGCGCAATCGGCCCAGCCGTTCTCGAGATCTGGAAACGCCTCCTGCACGTGCGTACGTGCAGTAGCACCCTAACCGCAACACATGGGAATGCATTGCCTGGTGGTTGCCTACCTGTATGCCAAGTTTCAGCGAAATCGCCCCAGTAATTACCGAGTTACTGAAATGGGAACAAATTTGGCACCTCTTCTTTTTGCATTTTGCACGTGCAGTGGGGGTCACTCACATAGATCAAGAGTATCCGACCTTTGGTAGAATAGAAGGGATGCAACTACCCTATAAAAATTACCGCAAGACAATCGCCCAAGCCGCTGCTGAGATATGGGCCTCTCAAAATCACTACTCTTGCAAAACTTCTTGAACACCCTTGACTTTTCACGACGGTCACTTAGATGTATCAAAAGTATAAGTCAATTACGGGGTAGAAGGGATGGGGGCGGGGCTACCCAGCAAAAAAGACCGCAGGCCAATCGGTCCAGCGGTTGCTGAGATATAAGCCTCTCAAAAGGGTTACAGGCCGGGCGCCGGGCCGCTCATACTGAGATTTTTCCGTTATATTGAAAAGACTTCGCTCGCTCGTAAAAATACGTCGTTACTAGGCCCCATCGCACTATCACGGATCATCCTTCCCCATGGGCGCGGGAACCGGGGGGCGGGGAGAGAGGCAGTGGGGGCAGCTTGCCCCCCCCCCCCAAAAAAAAAAATCTGGGGCCGTGGGGGAGGTGCTTCACAACTTTGGGACGGAATACCGCACTTTTTATGCAAATGTTTTCTTTTTGTTGTTGAAAAAGCCAAGGGATGAAAAATAGGTAACCGGTAGGAAAACTAGATTTGGAGGTACCCTAGGGCTAGGTTGATATCTATATTGGTGTCCCCCTCCCCTCTCCCGTCTGAAAGTAGTTTCCGCGCCCCTGCCCTTCCCTAATCCCGTCGCTTCCGAGTCCCCCTTCCTCCCCTCCCCTCCCCATCCCCCTCCAACCACGATTGTCGTGACGGTGAGGGCATTGCCGAAGGTCAAAAGACGCCTCAGGCCAGCGGCGACGGCGCCGGGAGGTGGCTACCGGTTCGATCCGGTTCACGACTCTGGAACGCTCGGTCACGAACAGGAGCCTGTAGGCTCACGGCGGAGGGCGGAGACCGCTGCCGGCGCTGAATTCATGTCCCCGGAAAGCCGTGATGCGCTGAATTAACAAATTTGGTTGATCGAAATCATCTGAGATTCTGATCGGGAGAAATTTGACGGCGAAGTGTGTGCGTCCCTGCACGACCCCTGGCGGCCCGGGCTGCCCCACCCGCTGAGCCGCACGCTGCTCCGATCGACACCAGCTGCACCCCCTACATAGTTCAGCGGCCGGCCGCCAGTCAGCGCCACTGTCGGCCGGAACGTGGGCGCCACCGGCGCCACCCGAGGCGACCAGCCACTCCCTCTGGCGGGCGGAGGGCAGTCGGCGCAGGGAGACCCCCGGAGAAGCCAGCAGTCACCCACAGCTCCAGAAAACATGGGCAAGGGCAAGCCGGGTGAGATATCTACTGCTGGCCTTTGGCCGCAGCCCTTCCATCAGTGGTGTGTGCATTGGCCAGGTTTTGTGGTGCCTATTCGTTAATAAGTACGGATAAACGTTTTCGTTCTTGTCAGAGCTGGTCATTTACTTGTTACTCCAACAATGGCACACAGTGGGTCTTATATATTTCCCTGAGCATCGGCTGTCTGGGCGACGATCGATAGCATGCCCTGTCCCCTGCAGCCCTCTCCTAGTTGGGAAGACAGTGCTGCCCTAAATGCCCCGGCGCCTCGCTGACATCGCTGACTCTCGTCGCTAACTCGCCGTGTTTTGCCCGCAGAGAAGGGAGGAGCCGCCGCCGCCGATGCTCCGGCCGATGATGCTAAGGTTGAGAAGAAGGCACCCGCCAAGCCCGCCAAGGAGGCTCCCGCCAAGGAGGCCAAGGGTGCCAAGAAAGGTAAAAATCACCCACTTTTACCTTGGTAAAATTTTTGGCTTTGCAACTTTTCAATTTTTAAGTTATGGGTTAGACATTGATCAAGCTCAGCAACCTCAGTTATGTGGGTCAATGTTGCAAGTACAGTAACCAAGTCACAATATTTGAACTATTTCAGCTGTTTTTTTATTTTTCCCTAAATGATTCATCCGATAGTGCAACCACGTCAAATGACATCGCTGAGCCGAAACTGAAGTCCCTTTGTCTATTTTCGCAGGTGGCAAGAAGTGACCACGGGCGATGACTGCGGATGCCCTGTCTCCGCCCCATCACTCATTTCATTATTCCACACCTCGCTCGCGCCGCCTTTCACATTGGAGAAGAGATGCCTTCGCCATCACCAGCCTGCGGAGAGCTCGGAGCCGGGAGGGCCGCGCTCCGGTGAATACTCGGCGGCTGAGGGCGTGGAACGCCATGCCTCTTGTGGTCTCCAGATGACCCCTCTAGACAGGCTAGGTGACCGCGGGCCGCGGCGGCACCCTAAAGTATTCGGTGGCACGGGTCCGCTGATTGAGACCAGCGGTTCCCCCCTCGCCTGTGTTCCTGTGACGAGCTTCTGAGCCGATTCCAAATGCGTGTACAGTGGTGCTAAATAAATTATGATTGTGTTATTGGACGACTGTATTGATCGTGTCAGGCCTTCGGTAGGAACACCAAGAGCAGTTGATTCGAGCGACCCAGAGCAGAGATATAACCTCGGATGAGTCAATAAAGAGTACTTCGATTATGATTCTAAAGTAGGACACGAAATAAACAAAAGTTTATATCTGTATCATAAATGAGTGGAAATAGTTCAATATTTGAATAATCATGTGATTAGTACGATTAGCTTGGTTCACCTGATCTAAACGGGCTAGGTTGATGCGGCAACCTGGCATGAAAGCTGGCATTAGATGGACACCGGATACGCTGGCGCTGCTCCCGAGTCTCTATGTAAGACAATACGTCGATTGAAATGTGGCTACATGGGTCGACTGGCAAGCGAAAGCATGGCATGACTGTTAGGTGCCACATTCACTGGGACTGAGGCTATGGGACAGCCACGGTTACTGGAGCTCTGTGATTATATTGGACAGCGAAAGCTTCTGGGACTATGACGCCCACTACAGCTGGGACTCTGGGACAGCCACGGCCACCAGGGATTTCTAGGACACCCAACGCACTGTAGAGTGTAATGACTTAAGCTGGGACTCGCTGGGACACCTATGGCACCAGCGATTTCGATAGCCAGCGTTTACATATATGTAATATAGGTATGCATATATGTATGTACATATATGGTCTGTTCCAGTCGCACTTCCTAACACCTCTAAACTCCTCCAAGAGCAAGACAGAGGAGGTTGGAGCAGGGCCCTTCTTGGCTTTGTAGGGGCTAGAGCTGCCACTGGAACAGGGAAGCAATCTTGGAGGAGTTTAGAGGTGTTAGGAAGTGCGACTGGAACAGACCCCATAGACTCCGGCAGTTGGCACAACCACAAATGTGACTGAGACTTTCACAACAGCTTTGATGGAACAGTCCCATTAGCTGAAGCTCTCGCTTTTTTCGGGGACGAGTTAGCACTGAATTTGTAAAAAATGTACAAAAAGCTCATCGCAAGAAAGTTTGTTCATAATTAGCGCATCATAATTCACGAGGGCACTAAACACACCTCGTGTCTAACCCGGCTCTTGAGCCACGTAGCGACACGCGATAGTGACACGTGATAAGCGACGATTGAGTGAGCGTCGAAAATCTCGGAGTAAGTTTTGGGTATATTTTTGGATTAATTTTTACGTCAGGTCAAATGTCAGGTCACTGGAGGTCATCAAAGGACAAATTTTGCCTAGTTCATTGACTAATTGGCGCATAACTCGAAAATCAATAGAGCTACAACAGGGTCATGGAAAAGCGCATTCTGCTATAACTTTTGACACAAGTCTTGTGGTGCGTTGCTTTTACCGGCATCGCATCATGTTTGTGTCGGTGAGACTCGTCGAATGGATTTATAACTTAGCTAAAAAAAAAATGAAAATTTTATTTAGGTTCAAAGCCATAAGCTGACCAGAAAAGGTCATGTTGCATACCAGTCGATCCGTATAATCGAACTCGACACATTCGGAGTGTTTAAATCGCTCTAGAATGTTTCTCAAAAGTCAATAAAAATATTTTTAAACAGTATCAGGAATGCCTACCACAATGTTTTCCGCAGGTAATAACAATGTGCCGTCACAACGTTTTAAGCGTGGAACCGGTAAGCGATCAGCCTTTTGATACTTGTCACACCTCTACTTCCTTCAGCTATTAGGATTCATCCATTTGAACAGAAACATGCGAGATACGGGTGGAGTTTTCAAGCTCAAAATTGTTCCTCTCACGTCGAAACTCATCGAAAGTTGTGGCACCAGCCATTCTGAACCACAAGATAGCGTTCCTAAGCGCAATTCAGCAGACAGGTACGCAAACAAGGGAAATCGGGCGGCCGGCGCGGTCCCTGCCGGCGTCTGCACAGTCGGCTCATTCTGCTCTGAACCGGCCAGATCTGGTTTGCGCCGTCGCCGGGAGGGGCCTCGCCTGCCGTTCAAGCCGCCGCCGCCGGACGGCGCCAGCTTCGGCGCTGATCGAAGCTGCCGAGCCGGGCCGACGGTGGCGCCATCTCAGCTCCGCCGGCCTCGGCCACTCCTGGCGGCGGGCTCGGCATTTATCGGTCAGGGGTCGGCGCCGCAGCACGCAACCAGCCATGAAGAAGGCAGCGAGTGAGTACATACCTTCGGTCACTGGGCTTTGCTGTTTTAATATGGACCGTCTTTGTCGTTTCCTTTCCATGTAAAATTACCAAACATGCTTGCTAACAGTAGACAAAATCGTTTTCTCATCCCCTTTGGAACTTTTATTTTTGCCGGCCCGGTAATTATTTGCCGTAAGGTCAAAGGAAAAGTCAACAAAACCCGGCGTACAGAAATTCAAATAGTTTTATAAAATTGTGTTTTTATTTTGTCATGAAGTCCAACTTTTGGAAAATCGTTAGATAAGGCTCATGGATGTTGCAATCTGCCTCCTGGCGCCACCCGCGTGCCTCCAGGTTGATTGAGCTGATTTAGCCTGCAGCCTGGTAAGAGCCACCTTTATATATTGCCATAAGTCAGCCTCTTTCGTCATCTGAGACTGGTTAATCCCTTCCCCTTCACAGAGAAGGAGGGCGGAGACGCCGAGCCGGCCGGCTCCCCGGCCAAGGAGGACAAGAAGCCTGCCAAGGAGGCCGCCCCCAAGAAGGAAGCCGCCGCGAAAGAAAAGGGCGGCAAAAAAGGTGCGTTCGTAAACCAAAATATTTCAGTTTGCTGGGAACAGAATCAACTATTATTTTATAAAAGAAAACTGCAAAAGCTTTAAAAAATCAATGAAAAGTACAGAATTTCGTTAGTTCGATCATCAGTCCGGGGCCACGAAGTGCACCAGTTTTTGTTTTCGAGCTAAGCTGACGTTCCCTTTTCTTTTTCAGGTGGCAAGAAGTGACCTCTGCCCAAGGCTGCGCCCATTCACCATTTCATTTGCCATTCGTTTTGCCACACATGGATCGCGTCGTCAAGAGCAAAGATATTTCCACCGTTGCAAGCTGGCTGTGTTGAGTGTTCCCAACTATTGAAGTGATGTGCTAGGTCCAGGTTTGGCCGGAAGGTCTCAAGGCCAGTAGTTCTTAGCTCGCCCGCTGCTGTGTTAAGATCGGGGCTCATTCCAACTGTGTGCGGTGGGTCAATAAATCATCAGTTTATTTGTGTACTCATATTTGTTTGCTGGAGCGGGGTGTTTGACACCTCTCGTGAGGTATGAGAGTTATATGAGAGTTATATAGTTATTCTACCGTGCAAAAGACATAAGTTGGTCCGGAAAGGCGACCTCGCACTCTGCGGGGAGGGGGCATGTCTCCAAAAAGGTGTCCGAACCCCCTAAAAATTTAGCTCGCATTGCGGTTTCCTACACATTCCTGTACAATTGAAAAATTAGAATATACAAGTCGGTAAGTTTTTACTCTGAACAGCAAATTTTCCTCCTTTTCGGGAGCTGCGGGGAGGAAGCAGTTGCCCCGAAATGCCGTTCCTCTCCCATGGATCCGCCGCGCGCAAAAAAAGTTCCTAAAAACTTATCGATCGTCTACAAAGTCACAATCTAAGAAACAAGTCGCTTAGAATTGAGTCATAATATTCTAATGTAGTAAATGCATGGGAAATAGGTATTGAATTGCGCGGACGCGAAAGAACCGCAACCTAGAAAGCATCGAGTAGTTAAGTCGCTTAGAATTACAAACAGTTTTCCATGAAAAATAAATACAAGGATGAGTAAGATAAATGGGTCGTACGAAGGCGCAGCTTGGGAACAATCGAAAGTTAATTGCGTATGTAAAACCATGTCCTTAGCCCCTAGGTAATTAACCCTCGCCCCGTTGGGGGGGCCATTTTGGCCCCCCCCTGTGGTTTTTCCTGAATAGCAAGAAAACGGCGGCGCGCAGCGCCGCCAAATTTTCAGTACCTTCCCGGGCATCAATTTGACACCTTCACACCAAATTTCAAGTCTTAGGTCACCTTAGGTCAGGAGTTATTGAGGTCAAACTGAGGTCATGTTCGAGCAAAAATGAGCAAAAAACATGCAATCTTGAAACGCTCACCAAATCTACAGTTATCAAGCAATTTCAATGTTCTTTATATGGTCTAGTAGACAAAAAGCGGCGCTACAAAACTGCTATCTCGGATTTTCAAAATTTTGGGTTTTTGACCCAAAAAAATTCAAAAAACTGATTTTTTTAGAAAAACTAAAAAAAATCCAAAATTTTTCCGAATTTCGAAAAAAACCGGAATATATGTGATAGTCGCTGCGCTCCTATATATACATACCAAATTTCAGATCGATATCTCGTTTTTTGGCCAAGTTGTAGCGAAAAAACTGTTCAAAAATGATGACGTCAAATTTTTGAACTCAATTTTTAGCGATTCTAGACCTCGTACGGCAAAACAAAGACCACCATTGAACTCCCCGTGACGAGCTGCATCGATTCGATACTCATTTTATGCAAAAATATCAACTTTGAAATTTGACCTAATTTGACCTGACCTTGACCTGACCTTGACCTGGCCTTGACCAAAACGTGACCTAAGCTGGCCCCAAAGGCTGCCTGACCCACATAATCGCATTTGTCATGTAAAATGGACCATAAAACATGTATCACACGACACTTTCATATTGTGACCCCCCAGTGACCTGACCTCTGTGACCTGACCTGGTATCAGTGACCTCAACTAGCAAAATATGTGTTTGAAGAACATTTCCCCATCGATGATTTTCAATGAAATGCATTTTACTCGATTTTACAGCGCATTTCTTGAAATGCCTGTAAACGGTGAAAATTGGACCTTTGACCTGACCTGTGACGTCATCGGTTTGACCTAGGTCAATAAAATTGGGTCACAAGGTAGTTCCCTGATAGGGCTATCCAACACCGTTTGCCGCTTGTCGCTACGTTGCGTGGTTCTCGAGATCTTAGGGGGGGGGCCAAAATGCCCCCCCCCCCAACGGGGCGCGTTGCTCGGCAGAGCCCAACGGGGCGCGGGTTAAATGCGTGGGCAAAAGAAACTACTGAGTCCTAAAACCCTTGAAGCCTGAGTAATTGTAGATCGGAAAAACATGCCTCTTCACAATTAGCATGCCATGGTATACTCGGCCTTTCCATAAATCAGGCATTCATTAATGGTGCTGTAAGGTGACTATTTTATTTCGAAGGCTGATGCTGGGCCGCTAATTGCCGGCTACGTAGTACGTATGCAGTTTTTAAGTGAGACAGACTTATATGTATATAAGTTATTAAACAGGATTGCACATGACTTTAAAGCATGTTGACTAAAAAAAGCATTGAATAACGACACTGTCGGCTGTACATTTTACAACACAGGTAACAATGCAAGCGCTGCAGACGCTAACACTTTGAATTAATGAAAACCATCATCTTGCATGCCGTACAGACGCTGGTATGCAATAATAATCGCGGTTCGGTGGCATCGCCAGTTTGTTTCGCATAGCAGCACGTAACGAGAATTTGGCCTTTCGGGACCGGGGCCGGCGGCACAGCATACCAGCAGGCGCATCCCACTACTGCCATCTGGTGGCTGGACTTTGAGCAATGCGGCACAGCGGAATTTCAGGCGCTAGTCGCCAGTGCCATCTAGTGGATGGAATGTAAGCTTGATGGTGCGATATTTGAGGTAGGTACTTGTTCACTAATGTTACGCTCTCTAGCACTACATTCAAGCAGAGTACCACAGACAGACCCCATCGGAACAGGATAAGGAAAACAAAAAGACATTCCCAACATTGAACTTGATTTATGCAGGCACCTGCATTGTAGACAACTGGAATGGGCAATGTGCATTGTGCATTGAACATTGTAATTACTGCACATGCATTGAATGAGCCTGTCGTAAAGGAAAAGAGATAACCCTTTATCGCCGACTTCACCGTGCTTGGGCGCGTTATATTTGCTTGCAGTGCTGAGTGCAGTGGTCGGCTTTGTTCGGGGCGCTGCAATGATTAAAAACTAGCCTAAAGCTACAGTCAAATATATGCCCTTATGGCTTTTTGGGTGTGCTTCGTTTTATCCATACCCCAGGAACCAAATAAACCCGACATAGGGTGTCGTCTGACGGGTAGAGATCGCTCGTGTTCTTTCACATTTCATCAAAGGCTTAAAAGGCTGCTAAACGGGAACCAACATACAAGCTTTAGCTGCTGCAAGCATGTCTCTTTATACTAGTATTCTTTCATGTGCTTTCAATGATGGCAAAACAGCTATAGTTCCAGCGGGGGTATAATGCTTATTGCAGGATCCTCGGTGATAACATTATCATTTTCAACACACTATACCTTTACATATATAGATTTAACAAACATACATCAAGATGGTTTTCAACATTTTTTTGGTGTAGGATTAAAACGAGAAGGGACTGAATTTTGATTACGCACTGAGAGATTAAAAACCATTGCTCGGTCGTATCAACCCCTTCTATGGCGGGGAGAAGCCTGCCACCTGTGACATGATGCCTGATAAATCTGTGCTACCGCTGTGGCCTTAAGCCGAGCTGAAGATTGCAATATCGAGCTCGCTGAAGGTGGTTCTCAACTATATCATTGAAATTGCCAATGTTAGTACGGAAAATATGTTCATGTTCAGTATACTCAGTATAATTGTTTAAGTATAAAATAGGAGCGTTTCAATCAAAAGCACTGTATTGATGGTAAATATTTCAGTCATTTTGGTAAAGTTCTTTGTATGATTACGTAACGCTCGAGTTTCAACCAATTGCAAACTAAGTGTCATGCAACATTTTAAGTCGTCTCTGCATAAACACTTTTTACAGTTGGAAACACAAATAATTTATTCGTATCACGGTATACTCGGTGAGTACATACATCATGTTGGAACACTTCCGCGGACAGACTTTAAACCAACGGTCCAAGCGGCCTGTTGGCCTTTCAGAGCCCGGGCAATCCGCATTGAGCCTAAGCTACACTAGCATGAATTCCGACGTTTTTTCGGTTTCTGCGGGATTTCGGCTCGCGTCGTCAAGTTCGCCTCATAGCGAATGCATTGCGCAAGCTACACTGCCAGTCTGGCGTCCCGTGGAACGAAAACCCGCAAAAACCGACGAGTCGGAACCGAAAAAAAGTTCAGAGCTGTGAACTTTTTTTCGGTTTCTGCGGGATTTCGTTTTAGTGATGGATGATTAGAAGTGATTGTTGCTAATAATATTGTGACGATGGAACAGTTTCAAATGTAAATAATGAAAATGGTGTAATTCATGATTAAATAAGACAAAATGTGTTTCAAAACTCATCATTCTACATCAAATATGATAATTGTAATTAAACTGACAAATGATTATGATCGAAAATCTTTCCTTGTTAGTTGCAAAATCTTTAAAACAATTATTTAATCATAATTTTGTTAAAACACGATAATATTTAACATGAATAATTACATAAATTTATCATTTATCCATCACTATGCTACAAACAACACCGTCCACGCGGCGGCCGCCCGGAACGAAAAAACGCAGAAACCGTAAAAACGCGGAAACCGAAATCACGCAGAAACCGAAAAAACGCTGATAGTGTAGCCTGAGCTTTACGCTCACAAGTCACATTGCTCTCTCCTTGGCGTGCCCAACAAAGCAGTTCTGCCTGTTCTCAAGCGTTTGCTGGCAGGGAATGGTGGAAGCGTTTTTCTCCATATGCCTTGAATTGGTGCCTTGAGGTGCCTTGAGGAGTGGAATGTGACATGAAGCAAGCTCTTGTTGGCGAACTTCGCCAAAGATCACTTCTTACCGCCTGAAAAAAAAAAATAGAGCATGACAATCGGCATCTTTAATCCATGAGTGGCCTATAATTCCACATATGTCTAAAAAAAAAACAACGAGGAATGAATGTTTTGTTAGAGAGTTTTTTATATAAATTGACTTTTTTAAACTTAGACACATTTGAGCCAGCTCTACCAAGTAACGAAGTACATTTAAAGACATGATGTGGAGATGAATTGTGAATTAAAATGAAATCGGACTTACTCCACAAGAGTTCGTTGGGTCGGAGCTTTCGAATTGTATTACAATTCTTCGTCAGCGAGAGTCGTATCGGATGTTAAGATCGAATCGAAGGTACAGTGCGGATCGAACAAAATATGATATATATATTTTATATATTTTGTACATATATATATACATATATACATATATATATATATATACATATATATTTTGTTCGATCCGCACTGTACCTTCGATTCGATCTTAACATCCGATACGACTCTCGCTGACGAAGAATTGTAATACAATTCGAAAGCTCCGACCCAACGAACTCTTGTGGAGTAAGTCCGATTTCATTTTAATTCAAGTAACGAAGTATTGTAGCATATGTTTGTTAGAGGTGTAACAGTGGATGCCGTTTGACGATAAAAATACCTATCATGAAGTGGTATGATATTGATTTAAATTATATCTCAGAACTATCATAAATTGCATGAGAGGATCTAACGCACCTTTTTTGCCGCCCTTTTCTTTCGCGGCGGCCTCCTTCTTGGGGGCGGCCTCCTTGGCAGGCTTCTTGTCCTCCTTGGCCGGGGAGCCAGCCGGCTCGGTGTCTCCACCCTCCTTCTCTGTGAAGGGGGGGAGGGGCAAAAGTCGGTGAGAATGACAAGCTGCGATGAGATGACTCATAACTGATCGACAGATCTGAAGGATGACGCGACGACTTATCAGGATGACGAGATGACCGATCGACAGATCTGAAGGCCACAGTGCTATGAGCAGAATTATTACCACATGGGCAAACGAGTAACGGCTAACAGGCGATGAACTTGCATCGAAGAAAAACATTTTACAACGATAAATATTGTGGATAAATGTAGCAAAGACTCGTATGTTCTTGGCCGACATAGACATAGATTGACGGGCCATTCAATTTTTAACAGGAGACTGTTAAAGGGACCCTCCCACCTTCAAAAAAGTTAATAAATTGGCATGAAAGTGATGTCGCTCGATTCAGAAAGAGTAAAAACGAATATCTACCAAATTTCACCGAAAAATATTCACCGGTTTTCAAGACATTAAACTTTTACTTTTGTTTACTTTTTGGGATCTCCGCTGTTCCTAGCGACTTCATTTTGGAAGTGCGGCGTTTGCGGCAGATGTTGCGCGCAAATAGCATATATCCACCACTGCTTCACAAAGATGTTAGTATAAGCTTTTAAAATCGTTAGATCACCGCTGACGTCACAAATTCTAAGGGGGCATCCCAATGCATTAGCCCCTTAGAATCCGAAAACTGCAAGTTTGAAATTCCATATCTCCGAATTAAAGCATTTCTCGATGTTTTGAGTGCCCAAACCGGTATTTGCAGGCCATGGCCACCAATTTGGCTATCTCAACTCAAAACTAATGTTAAGGTGGGATAGTCACTTTAACACCGAAGTGACTCTTGCTGAATCAATATCTGGAGTCAGTGCATGCTTGTTGCTGGGACGGGGGGCTGCCTGTTGCTGGACGGCTCAAACCAGTGTGTCAATAGGCCAATGGATGGTGCACAGGTCGGGAGGGTCGGGCGATGCCGGCAATGCAGGCGGTCGGGAGGGACTTGCAGCTAACAACGAGTAACTCCCGTTTATATACTAGGCGCTAGAACGATAATAAATATTAATCTTATCCGCCCAAGATCTGTCGTTTTAGTTTTACAGGGAGGACATATTGTGTGATTCTATTTTTTTTACATTTTTTGTGATTATATATTCCCAAACCCCCGAGGGCTTTGGGTATGCCCTGATGATTCACAAAGAAGGATTGCGCCTTTATGGAATCTCAGATTGCTTTGTTCTGAACAGTTTTCGTTACTTTCGGTATTTTCGCTTATGACGTTACGGTCTTTTTCATGAAGGTTTGAAACGAAATGATATAAACAATAAACCATATCAGAGCCGCAGAATGTTTGGAATTAGTGAGGCGAGGGGGTGTGGGTCTGGGCGGCTAGGAGACGAACCACATCCACACGAGACGAGCCACGCCCACACCAACTGCCACCCCACCGCACGAGAGTCTGTCCCGAAGGAGCTATGTAATGATGTGGGCTGCCCAGCCCGTGACAGGAAGCTTGAGACGTTAGAGATACGGATTTTCGCGCCCTAAGGATATAGAACAGTTGGATCCGAGATACGTTTTTTTTTTTTCTGAGTTAGGCGTTTTCGGTCTGACGAGACCATATCAGATGCTCCGGAATGATGATAGGAATAAGGGGGAGACATTGGTCTGGGCGGCACCCTGGTGCTCCTCCGGGGCTGAGCCCATCCAATGGACAGGCCACCCAGCCCCCTGACACTCACTGCACCCGGCTACGGGTGTGCTCCTATATGGGAGCTTGCCGCATGGGATAAAGTTACCCGTCCAGTCCGGTACAGGGGTTTGAGGCGTGGGGGAGAAGGATTTGACTGTCTTGAGGATGGAAACCACGGCACGGAGGACATAAGAATAAGTGATGCTGCTTTTCGTTCAGCCTAGCAGAATCATGGCGACCGAGAGATGGGTGCGCCTCTCCCCTTCCCGATGGGACCAGAGGATGCATGCAGCCGATGCTGCAAGTTCGCCGGAAAGCAAGCATGCACGGAGCGCACGCAGCCAGCGAAAGGTCTGAGAGGGGCGACTTGATGGCCTGCAGTACTCACTGGGTCCTCCCTTCTTCATACTGGTCACTGAGAAACCACAACTAGCGGCCACAGTCTCCCAATGGTAAATGACGAGCCCGCCGCCAGGAGCCCAGGAGAGGCCGTCAGAGCTCAGATGGCGCTAGTATCCAGCCCATGGTTCGATTCGACCCGTCACGACGGTAGCGCTGACTGGTGGCCGTCCCGTGAACTGAGCTGTGGCGTTGCCGCCGCCGCTACCGTTAGCTGCAAACCAGAAATAACCAGAGCCGGCTACAGCGCAGTTTGGCTATCGATTCAGATCGACCGAGGGGGTCTGAGCTCAGGGGGGGGGGGGGCTGAGACAGCACCGGCCTCCGGAGCTCGGAGTGCCGCGCCTCATAGCTGATACAGGCATTCATGTAAACCGTTTTCGGAGAATGACTCACGTTATGCATGGCCTGCCGGGAGGCGTAGAAATGTTTGCAGAAATACACGAAACATATCGGCAGGACAATGCCGCACGAGGATGCTAAGAAGTATGGTGGCGATGATGTTTGCAGATGACTTCGAATGGTGATTGAATTTATTTGCATTTAGCAGTGATAGATGACGGATTCGTCGAGGGTACCTCCCTCAATCTTCATATTATACACAATACAGGGGCCGCTAGTGTCCCCACCAGGGGCCGCTAGTGTCACCACCAGGGGCCGCTAGTGTTACCGTCAGGGGCCGCTAGTGTCACCGCCAGGGGCCGCTAGTGTTACTGTCAGGGGCCGCTAGTGTCACCAGACGTGTCGCCCCCAGGGGCCACTAGTGTCACCACCATGGGCCGTTAGCCTAAAGGCTCCTCCATAACGATAACGTAAGATCAACCATCTTATCATGTCGTACTTTCATATTACCGGTATTTGACGCAGCATGCATGATGATATGGTATTGACAAGTGCGCATCTGAGTCAACGAAATGGTTCATTGGAAAGTCAAAGTGGAATTTTTGCGGCACTATTATCAGCCTGTTGGCTGTATGGAGACGAAACACAAGATTGCATTTAGTGCACTGTAAAGGCCCAAGTCTTTGTAAATTGGTTCAACCGTTCCATGCTTCTATCCTCAGGATACTGAAATCCTTCTCCTCCACACCGCAACCCCCCTCCGGGCTGGACAGGCAACTTTATCTCATGCGGGCTGCTCCCTTGGAGCGGCACCGCTGCTCCCGAGGGAGCGCACCCCGTAGCCGGGTGCAGTGAGTGCCTTGGGGCTGGGTGGCCTGTCTTCGGACGGGCTCAGCCCCGGCGACTCACTAGGGTGTCTGCCCAGACCAATGTCTCCCCCTTATCCTATCATCCTCCCGGCTCTGAAATGGTCTTACTGGACCGAAAGGGCCTAACCCAACAAAACAAATAAATTGGTTCAATAGTTACAACCACCGTGAATACCTTATTTTCTCTTTATCTGTGGGTATTGTGAAGACGGTCCAACTTCTGTCACTGAATTGATAGTCACCTCGTTATACGAGTACCTATGTGCAGAGTGCACAGCCGGCAGGGTGTGCCCTGACACTTGCACGACTTTCGGTCACGATTTTGTCGTGGCAAGCCGTGCCATTTTCGTGCACGAACTGTGATGGCTCCCGCACTGTTCATGACTAGTGCACGACCAGTTCACGACGATTTCACGAATAATTCACGAATGCGTGCCCATCAGTGTCCTCATTGACACGGACTGATACGACGAGCTCACACATAGTTTCCGCATAGTTTGCGCATAGTTTACGCACTTCCCGCATTGGCACGACAAGTTTGCGCAATTTGTGCCGACTTGGGCATGCCATATAAAAATGTGACCTCCCATTTACCTATTTCTCCGTGTCCTGGCCTGACCCATCGTGAGCTCCAGTGACGCAAATGTCCTGACCGGACCTAATGTGACCAGTTTGACCTGGACTGACCTATCGTGACTTTGGCTGACCTCTGTGACGTGGCGTGACCCATCGTGACCTCATGGTGACCTAACCTGACACCGTGTGACCTAATTTGACCTCTGTGACCTAACCTGAGCCCGTGTGACCTAGTTGGACCCCTTTGACCTGAAATGACCCATTAAATATATTTTCGGTCATAACTTCCCATCTAGGCGTCCAATCGACTCGGGAAAAAACCAAACAATCCCAAATTTCGCGCTACGAAGCAAGCCGAGATCCACACATTGGCAAGGGCTGGTACGACGAGTACACGAATACTTTTCGCATAGTTTGCGCATAGTTTACGCACTTCCCGCACCGTCCCGACAAGTTCACGACGAGTTCACGAACAGTTTGCGCATAGTTCACGATCCGGTCACGAAATTTTGTCGTGACCAAAACTTTGAACATTTCAAAGTTCTCACCCCGACATGGCACGAAGTCACGACGAGCTAACGCACACTTCACGTCAGTTTACGACTAGTATGCGCACGGGCACGATTCGATTCGTGCCAATGCGTGCCACAAAATCGTGCAAGTGTCAGGGCCCCTTAAACCGTCAGAACTTCTAGGAAGTAGGAAGTAATTGTATTTTTCGTCTTCTGTGAGGTTTCCAAAAGTACTTTTCGACAATCAGGAAATGAGATTCAGTTAGACTTTCTAGAGCATGAACTGCATCTCATATCGTCATAGATAACACTTAAAGATAAAAGATAACTCTTCCATTAGTGTTTGTAGGTACCTATCTGAATTCTGAATTGAGATATGCAATGTCTGAAAACATCGGTAACCAAATTACTATAGCGGACTACCCTGCCAGATTCCGTAGCCAAATATCCGGCCGACGATGGCTATTTCTGCACTGTCGCTCGCAGGCTGACAGGCATGCTGAATCGTCCTTCGCCGACTGGGGGCCGGCCAAGGTGAGTGTAGCGCCATCTACGCTCTCGCTGGCATCGTCCCCTGGCGGCCGACTCAGCAGTCAGCACAGGAGGAGCTCCCGAGCAACCGCACGTGAAATCAGCACAAGCCATGGGAAAAGGAGGACCTAGTGAGTATCTCAGCGGCGGCGTCCGCTTTGCTGACAAGCACTGTGAAAGGTGACATGTGCTGTGCGCTCGATGTTGTCTATAGCGGCTGTTCGTGACGCTGCTGTTTCCTCTGAGCTGGGGGCTCGGTGCGAAGTTGGCCGACGCGCCGACATTCTCGGGCAGCCTGCCCAGCGGTGACCGATCCGCCAGCGGACTGTGTTGTCATAAAGGAAGGCGGTGATGATACTTTGCGGGCAACTAACGGAAGGTCATTTGGCAATCATCGATATCATGCCTCGTTGACAGCTCCAGTTTATTCATACGATCAAAATCCGGCATGCGTTTTAAAGGTAGTGTGCCAGCTTTCCTGGACCGTATGGAGTTAATGGCCCAGATAAGGAGAACCGGATTTTTAGAACTTATCCATACCTTCAAAAGTCATGGAAACGTCTTAAATTCTTCGAATTTTGAGTACCCCAGTGCGAAATTCGCCCCGACGGGTTGTCGGTCGTACCCCAACCACATTTCACACCACTATGAACAATAAATGCACACACTGAAATCGCTATTACCGATATGCTCATCCAATCAAGTTTCGATAAACCCGTTCATCATCATCTCCTGCGGTTTCGAACGCGCCTGTTAGGTGGTGCGGTAGACCGCGCCCAAAGCCAGGGCCCCGGTAACGTGAGGTAGCCGAGTCGGGGCAGCGTGCGCTGACCCAAGCCGGGGCCGCGCGTCCTCCCGGTGTCATGTGATAGCCCGGGGCTGCCCGCGGGGATGCGGTAGACCGCGCCCAAAGCTGCTGCCCCGGCTTGGGTCAGCGCACGCTGCCCCGACTCGGCTACCTCACGTTACCGGGGCCCTGGCTTTGGGCGCGGCTTCTGCTCATACTTTGTGGTGCGGTGGTGGTGCGTCGGGCCGCGCGCTCTGACTTCGGCCAAGAAAAATGCGTCAGCTGATCATTGTCATTTCTGCCACTTGCGTGTGGTGAAATGGGGTCATAACTTAAGAGACGGCTTTTTCATATCAATTATTTTACATAAAATCATATTTCAAACCATAAATAATGTTCGACAGCCAAATAAAAGAAACAATACCAATACAGGCTTACAGTTTAAGGCTCGACATTGTGTTGTCTACGATTAGACAGCTGATAACTCATTCCCGTACGCCGTAACTCTATAATGACCTTTGCTTATTGTCACATGTGCGCCGCATTCGCGATTGTTGCCGACGCCTGTTTGCAGGTCAGCCCACTACAGTTGTTATACATATCGAAAAACCGATAAACTTTCAGGCGAAAGGCACTATTCCAGGCCCATTTTTGATTTTTTTTGCGATATTAGGTAAAAACAGAAGCTTCTTATCCTAGGAAAAATAAAATGGGAAATCTTTCAAAGGTGGCACACTACCTTTAAACTGATCCTAAACAAGTAACGTTCTGCTCATCAAAGTTTTTCACTATGTCCTTCCCAAGACACCTTATGCCACTAGGTCCTCCCAACTTCTGTCCTTCCCAGTTTTGTCGTCCCAGACTGCGATCTGTCCTCCCTATAGCCTTGTCATCCCCAGCTTTGGTTTTGCTTTCGCCGGTGGCACTTCAGAATACGATCGATACCAGTCAGACACAACTGAAGCCTAACAACATTCAGTCCACGGAAGTGTCTGTGACATTTTGACCTTCCTCTGCAACTGCCACCGCTAGCCTGGCCTGCCTCCTTACTTTTTACTCAACCTATGACCTACCTGAAACACACCTGACACACGTGATGCGCATGACACGCCTGTTCGTCTGACACACAACTGTCTCACTTCTCAGAGAAGGGTGGAGCCGCCCCTGCCGCCGATGCCGGCAAAGGAGACAAGAAGGCCCAAGGCAAGGGCGGAAAGGATGCCGGTGGAGCGAAAGACAACAAGGGCGGAAAGAAAGGCGAGTAGACCTACTAAATACCTAAGTTGTTAATTATTACGAAAATGAACAGTCTCAGAAAGTCATTTCAATTTCTAGGTTTTTTAAAGTGGTAAAAAGTTATTCACATATCACATGTGGTCATTCACTAAATATCGGCAATTTTATTAGCAAATTTCCTTATCATAATTTTATTATACATTAATCAATAATTAAGTATATTAAATATCCTTATACTACTTAGTACTT